GTTTGTTCTATATCCTGGCTGGTGTCGGGTTTGATGGTGTCCAGCCACCGTCTTCTCTGACAGCTTGGTTTCCTTCTACCAGTAACTCTTCCCAACATAAATGTCTTTCTCCAGTGAATTCCCCTGCCTGGCATGGCCGAACGCTCCGTCTTGTCTTATTTAGGTCTCGTTTGCCGATGCTTTTGATCAAGTGGGATCCATTCTGTGACTGCCTTGGTCCACCTGCCCTTGGTTCTTCTTGCTACACGACCGGCCCAGTTCCATTTCAATCCCTTTACTCTTTGGATGGCATTGTATACTTGGTCTGTTCTCTAATCCGCACGCAGGGTCTTTCTATCTTGCCTTGTGATGCCGGGTATGTAGCTTACCGAGGCTCTTTGCGCCACTCAGAGCTTTTGTATGGATTGTGAGGTTAGCGTCCGTGTTTCGCCGGCGTAAGTTAGAGCAGGTAGCACACTGATCGAAAACTTTTATCTTCAGGCATAGGAGGAGGTTGTCTTTTTTAAAATTTTGCCTAGCTATAGGAATATGCTGTGTGTGTGCATGCATACACAGTATATATTTATATATTAAATACACACACTCTAACTGCAGAGAGAGAGAGAGAGAGAGAGAGAGATGTCCTATATATATAAGCAGGAGACTGGAAGCTAAGTCCTATAAAGAGGATTTGAAGGAACTGGGAAATTTTAGCTGAGAAGTGACGAGTTGCCTTCATTGGATGTATAGTAGTCGGTGAGCAATCCTCCAAGTATGTCTGTTGGCAGAGTTAGCTTACATACATAACGATGTGACAGAACTCATCAATGGGATAAAATAACAGTTTGGGAAGTTCTCCAGCAGTTTTTAAATTGACCGTCCTTTCTCTGATTGATCGTTGGATTTTATCCTATTATCCTACCAGCATCAACGCTCCCCACAACCCTTATCTGTTGAATGTGGAAGATGGGGCACTAGGTCACTTCAGGCTGTGGTTTATGGGAAGAGAGTCTCCAGATAGAGACTATTCTGTTCTATTCTATTCTATTCATTGTCCGATGTTCTCTTTTTCCTTGATGTAGGTTTCTTCCATTAATGGTCATTTTGATTTGGAATTTTACAAGCTATGAGGTAATTTAAGTTAGCTCTCTAAAAAGGATATTCTTCTTCTTCTTCTTCCTCCTCCCTGGCCTTACCTGCCTCCAGTCTCAGGTTCAAGTACAGAAAGATCCCAGGAATTTAGATATGGCATTTGTTTATTTGACTTCGTTCAAAAACTTTTCAAACGAATTGTGAGGGAGCCATCAAGTGGTAGAAAACAAGACAGCATCACTATGGGATAGTTTAAATCTGATGGCCCCATTGGCAGCTTAGCAATGCTTCAGCCTTCTTTATGAATTAAATTTATTTGCTGTCATCTCACCACAAGCTAACACAGTATTTCAGCAAGTAAGATGTCACCAGTGCCGTGTTACACACAAACACAACAGTGCATTCACGGGATCATTATCCCCTGGCTTATTAATTTTTTAAAATTATTTTTATTATGTCTTTCCAAGAGTTCAAGCTGGCAAATAACTCATCCTCACTAGATTATAAGGATTACAATCCTTGTTTGGTCACAAAATATTGCGTAACTCAGTAGTACAAGGCCAACAGGGGAGGGGGAAAAAAAAATCAACTGTCAATATTGGGGCTGCCATGAAAATGAGAATGTAGAAAAATATTTTTTTTAAAAAAAATCAGAAACACAATGAGGCTTTCAAAAATCCCATCCCCACAATGTTATATTTGAAAGGCTAGGAACAGAAGAAGAAGAAAAAAGGATTTATAGCGGCATTTCTCAACACGCTAGCTGGGAGACTCTAGAAACCGAAGTCCACACATCTCAAAAGCTTCCAAGGTTGAAAAACACTGATTTAGAAGTACGCAGAAGGGTAGGTGTAGTTGTTAAAGGTGCTGGGCTAAAAACTAGGAGACAGGGAGTTTTAGTTCCACCCGAGGCATAAAAGCTTGCTGGGTGACATTGGGCCACTCATTTTCTCTGAGCCAACTCCCTTCACAGAATTGTTGCCCTAGGGAAAACAGGCGACAGGAGGAATATTCGGTACATTTGTCACCTTGAGTTACTCGTACAGTAATAATGGTGGAATTAAAAATCTAATAAATAAACAAACAGGAAAATAAGAGGTCATCTTGACTCTTCCCCTGCTTGGTGCAAAATCGATCAGGACATTTCTCCCTACGGCCTCTCCCTAGAGACCTGTAGCAAAGGAGGCCTTCCTAGATCTCGTGGCATCCCATTCTGCTGGCTAACGGTCTATACAATCAGGAAATTCCTCCTGATGGCTAACGGTCATGATGGCTAACGGCCTCAGCCTCTTTTTTATTTATTTATTACCAAACTGCCAAAATCCAGAACGATGACACTGAAGCTTTCAGACACACTGAAAAGAAACAGCCAAGAAACAGCCAGAGCTATAAATAGAGCCAACCTACCTCCTTACACGGAGAGCGGCTGTGAAAAGACCAACCGACATCTGCAGTGTTTGATAACATTACGTTAAAATTAAAAGATCAAAGAAAAGCCAAAGGCAAGAACCTCCAGGATTCACAAGGGCAATAAGGAGAAAATGGAGTCTGAAACTGAATTCTTTCTCATGCATAGTTAACGGCTTATGGCGGGAATACTGGAAATGTTTGCAGCCTTTTAAGAAACGTCACTGGATTGATCTTGCAACAGCCGATCTATAATTACTGGCAGTGTTTGGTCTGAGAATTTACAAGAAGCGTGAGGAGCTCAGGAAGAAGGCAGGCATGATATAAAAGGTAAGTTTAGCAAAATATGAGTCAGCTTCAGTGCCCTAAACAGACCCAGAAGCAGTCTTGATAAGGAGCAGTATGCTCTTTTCTCATTGCCACAACTGAGGTCAAGGGTCTGATTTGCCCTTTCACGTGGAAACTTCCTTTAACCCTTTCGGACATCACGCTAAGCCGTAAATCATGACTTATCTATCCCAATGGACTGACGCAGGTACTGAGCTAAGCCAAACAGCGACAAAAAACCACAGTGTGAAATGAAACTTGTGAGATGGGGCACCGCTGTTGAACTTCTTGAAAACTCTTTCCTTGAATTATTTGGGGGGGCAAGGTAAAGATTCATGAAACGTTTCACCCAGGACGTTTTCCTCAGCGTTCTGACCGTCACAACCTACTGATTGTCTGAATTAAAATCTGAAGACTGTCAAGAACCAAACAGGCTCCATTTGGGAGGACAGAAAAAGTAAGTATTTACTTTTATGGAAGCCTTAGTTGCTGGTTGGATTCATTGAACACAAAATCAGTATTACCATAGTACTCCCTCCGTTTTTCCCCAAGAGCAACATCCCTGCGAGGTGGACCAGAGTAAGAGAAATTCCAGAGTCTAGTTAAACCAGTTAACTAGAATCTGGCACTCCCGCATCAGTACAGTGGCAGTGTAGGTATAGCCCAGTGCTGTCCTGCAAAATTGCCGTGGGCACATTTGCAGCGAGAAGGGCTCGATGTGCAAATTGTGTTTGTGGCGAAAAAATGTTTGTTTTTGCCAAACCAAGAACCGATGGGTGAAAGACGACTGAAATTAAAACCCTGGGCAAACCTGTCCTGTTATTGGAATTTCAGCCACAATGTTTATCTTAGTTTTGTGGCATCCTCGGCGGGGCCTGACTTGTGAGCTCAGCATCAGATGCCAAGGAAGAATACAATGGACGTTCCACCCGCTTTTATCTTTGAGAACAATGCAAAATGGGGCTTCGCTTCTTTGCGCAGACCAGTTTCTGGCTTGCTGAGGACCAGTGCTGGTCAACAGACCAGAGGTTGGGTACGTCTGCTCTAGGAAGACTCAACTGTCTTGTGATATATTTATTCACCTGGTCAGGGAGGAAAGCGGCCCCGTTTTCAATCCGGTAGGTTGAGGGCCATTTGGGGAAGGGCTGCCAATCAGTTTGAGTAAGCCCTTCCGTTTTGGCAAAGGGATGCTACGCCAAGCTGTGAAATTCTGTCGGCTTAGATCGATGGATACTCGGCTGGCCGAGGAAGCACCGGTCTGAACGCCTCTGACATCTTAGCGGACGGATCATCGATGGGAGCCTATTTTTTAATTTCCTGCATTATCGCGCCTGATTGCCATTTATGCACATTCCGAGTAATGAGACCAGACAGGCCATGTGTTGCACGGGGATGCCAAAGAAAAGGAATCTTATCCTCACCAATATTTTTTTTTTAAAAAAAATGGAATTTCTAGATCACTCGGCACTAAACAGGAAACTTTGGTCTCCAGCTCACAACAGACCCACCCAGCAGGATGAATGGCATAGGAAGATGGGGTGTTGTAGTCTAAAACCTAAGTTGCCTAGCTCAGCATAAACATGGAAATAGCCTCGGTTAGAATAGAATAGAATAGAATAGAATAGAATAGAATAGAATAGAATAGAATAGAATAGAATAGAATAGACAGAGTTATACCTGCCCTAGGCAGGAAGCCCTACACCACTTCAGACAAATGGTTATCCAACTTCTTTTTAAAAATTTCCAGTGCTGGAGTATTCAAAACTTTTAGAGGCCGGTTGTTTCACAGATTAATTGTTCTCACTGTCAGGAATTTCTCCTTAGTTCTAGGTTGCTTCTCTCCTCGATGAGTTTCCCTCCGTCGCAAAAGCTTAGATGGGCAGTATGAGGGTTCCCAAGGGATTTAAGAGTGTTTTCCATCTTGCTTTTTGGGGATAAAAAAGGGAGCCACACGAAGTTGAGTTTAAAAGTAAGCAATGGTTGGTTTCATGAATCAGGCTAACCCCTATCAAGCCGAATTGTGGTGAAGTGACTCAATTTTCTAGCTTTGTACTACATCACAGGATTGCAGATATCGTAGCCATATTCAGTTGGGTCTGGGAGCTTATGCTGTGTCGATGGAGGCACGGGAAAGGTGTTTAAATGGCTTAAACTTAAAAGAACTTAAAGGAAAACCAAGGGACACATTCTCATACCTCATACACGGTTCCATCAGGGCACTGAAGTATTCCATGGCCTTGTCTTTGATCCAGGATCCAGTCACCCTCAAATTTATCTCCATTTCTAAAAATAAAGAGCCAGGAGAATAATTTTAGGTGATTTGGTATATGAACCTTAAAGTGGGGGAAAAGGCAGGCAAGTTTTTTTGACAAAAAGTGTCCAGTACCCCTAATCTGGATGACAATACAAAAATGAATGCCAGGTTTATAATGGTGACAACTAGAAGTAGAAATACCTGGATTCAAATTTCTACCTTCACTGTTGCCGTCCTTTCCTTGGAGGAAAATAGGATAGAGGTAAGGAAAGCCGTGTAAAAATCAATTAAAGGACAGTGCATTTCTTAAAACAGCAATGAGCTGTTTAAAAAACTAATTTTTAAAAACAATCAGTGATGTAGCCTGAAAAACAACTGATAATAAGCAAGGTACCACATCACGTAGCAATTCCCAGCCTTACCTGAGCTCAAAAGCTAAGCTGGCCTAATTAAGTCTTTGGATGGCCAGGAAATTACAGGGCTGTAAGCTTAATTAGGAAATTGAAAAGATATCGTGAAAGATGGCAAGGGGGAAAACTCCTCCCAGACTATCACGCCAAAAAAAACAAAAACAAAACCAAGGGTCACCCCCAGGAAGTCCACAAGAGTGAAGTTTAATTTGGAGAATTTACTGTTTTTAACACGTTGGCAGTATCTGAACACAAAAGGTCAAGCTCCGTTTAGCTATTTAAGTCATGCTGGTCCTGTTCGCACGTGAAGCCCCTCTAGGCTGGTTCACACATGGTGGTAGGACAGACACAACGACGGGAACTGAGGGGAAAGAGTGCGCTTTAATAAGTCAGACTAAGCCATGTTAATTGGTTATACACCACATTCAGCTTCTCTTCTGCTCTGGCTCTTCTAGGGCTCTGTAACCAATTATGGATCTTGGGTGATTACTCCTTCCTGAAAGTTCTGCTTTCAGGCTGAATCCAACTAAAGGGCCAACAAAATGATCAGAGAAACTCACGGGAATGTCATTTTTCCGCCTCCGTGTTTTTTGTTGTTATGAAAGCTTCCTTGGTAAGTCACTCCATCCTTTTCCGTCAGCGACCCATGGCCTAAGAAGAAGACTTTGCGTTATAGAGAGAGAAACAATGCCAAAAGCTTTTTTTAAAAAAAATAATAATCACAAATTACTGCATAAACACTGTCATTTTCTTGGCTGATTTGAAAGCTAAAACTAAAAGTTGTTGGTGGGGGAAGGTGAATAAAGAAAACCCGCTGGGATCGTTTTATGTTTTGTTGCTGGAAGAAAACGACTTTTGCTCTTGTGAGTTACAAGCATTTGTGCAAAGGGGAAGTGCTGACACGAGAAAAACACTAGCTACGCAACTGAACTGATCCCAAACACAGATGGGAAGCAGCAACTGTACCCCTCTGGACAATGCAAAGATGGATCCAACAATCACACATGCACACCATAAGGCAAAGACAACAACTTGTGCGCTTGCCTCAAAACACTGCCCTTGTGTCGCTGTTTTGGTGTCCTTCCACTTTGGGACAGATGCTGCTGCCTGTTTGTCCCTAACAGTTGTGGGACCCTGGCTGTAGTCTGGGATACGGCTGGTGGAAGGGATCGGCAAGCCTGGGAAGTAGACTTGAGCAGCGGGTTGGACTAGAAGACCTCCAAGGTCCCTTCCAACTCTGCGCTCTTCTGCGTTTCCTTGCACCCTGGTTACAAATCAGCATCTGGACTAGACTGGAACGTGAATGCAATGCTCCTAGGCCAAAACTATTTTTGAGAATTCAACAGTCTCATTTCTCGACTAATTAACTAACCCACCCATAAATGTGAGCAGAAGATTTCTCTCCCAGTCTCCCACTTCAGTGAATTTGGGTTCAGGCCACTGGAATTAGCTTCACCAGGTGTCAATTCTTCCCCGTGTGTGTAAACCTGGGCATCACAGCATGTTCAAATAAAGACCAGCTTAGCGCGATAGATGAATCCCACCCTAGTTACACGGATTCTGCCCCTGTTTACCTTCTCGTACCCCGTAAGAGAATTCTCCTTCATATTTGCTCCCATTTCCATAATGGAAAACTCCGTGCCCGTGAAGCTCCCCGAAGAGGAATTGGCCGGAATAAGTATTCCCTTGAATCAAAAAAAAATACAATACAGTAAAACTCGGGGGAAGCTGTGGCAAATGCAGTTTAATAATCCTTGCTATTCCCATAAAGATTTTGATGGTGCCTTTCTCAGCGTGAGACATTCCAACTGAGTCATTAGCAGCTGCTTTTTTTTATTATTATTATTATCAGGACAGCTTCAAGAACAAAGGAAGCGTTCATTAGGTCTTTATTTTACAAACTAATGGAATCAGAGCCGCTATTCCTTCAGGTCTTTCATACTAAGGTATCTTAAAAAGACGTTAGTGTTACTGCGTAGGGGAAGAAAAGAAAAAGAAGGAAAAGAACAAAAGAGATTTCAGACATATTTTTTTTTTTTTTTAATAGTTCAGGAGATGAAGAAGTACTTTTATTTCATAGACAACTTAACAGCTTTTTGATGGCGTACGTTCACTCAAATGCCTTACGGAGGAGGAGGTATGCTGAATATAATTAAAAGAGAATCCTAAGTCCTTTGGGACAAAGCAGGCGTGTCGATCAAGTTAATCCTAAGAAGGATGAGGTTGCTTTTTAGCCACTTCACATGCAGTAGTATACAGGCAGACCTCAGTTCTGATCACAATCAGGGCCAGAAAAGCTAAGCAAGGCCGTTTTAAGTGAGCCACGCACACATTTTTATGTCGTTTTCTGCTACGGTGCTTAAGTTGTTAAGTGAATCATGAGGTTGTTAAGCAAATCTGGCTCCCCCCCCCCTCCCATTGGCTTGGCTTGTCACAAACTGGCTGGGAAGGTTAGCAGATGGCGAGCACGTGACCCCAGGATGCTTCAACTGTGATACTTACATGCCGGTGACCAAGCACCTGAATTTTGATCAACTGTGAGGACGCCACAATGGTCGTATGTGTGAGGATCGTAAGGTCACTTTTTTCATTTGCCTCTAAATCATTGCTAAATGTCATGGACTAGCCGTACATTCACATTTCTAGCTAGAAGGCAAGAAAACTGGGTCTTTTGTGTGACTTTACTAGGTTCAGTTTTGGTTTACAATAACATGTACACTTGGGGAAGGGTGGTGTGCTTCAATACTTATCATTAGCTCACAGCAACACAAACTCTTACCCTGGAGCCCTTTTCTCTAAGTCAGTCTTCCCCAAATTGTGTCGCTCTGTATGTCCTACCATTTCTGCCTATCACACCTGGAGGGGAGCGTGATGACCCAGGGTGGGATACAAAATAAACACAGTCACAAAAAACAGGTGAAGCCCCTTTTATTCCTTCACTTTGCTTCAAAGATCCAAATACCCTTGACTGGAGACAGAAAAAAACTCCCCCACAAGCCGTTACGAAAAGGAGGAAATGCAGTTTAATCAAAAAATGCCTATAAATCATAATGAGTAAAAACAACACAAACCACACTGAAGCAACTAAGGGAACCAAGTAAGATGAGGGCTTGAAGACGTCCACAGATATCGGAACACACCCTGGGAAGGACACCAAACTCAGAGAGGAACGACAGACTAGAGATTTTTCCATGCTTTGTTTCCAGCACTGGCCCATACACATGTCTCTCCTTTTAACCAGTTCTCACAGCTGCAGCCCACGAAGGGGATCAGGGCCCTTTCCTCCCCCGTAGACCATGCCATTCACGTCTCTCCCTTATCCTCTCCTCCCTGTGTGTCCTAGGATGGAGAGAGGATGGGCCTGGGTCTTCCTCTGACTGCCCAGCCGGCCTCCTCCACAACCTCCGGAGCCACACTTCCACTCTACAGTTCCACCCTGTCGGCTGTTCCTTTTCTCCTTTCTCTCCCTCGGAGTCAGTCTCCAACAGAGGCATGACAGGGAGGTTCTTTATATCACATAATCCTATCCACTTGATGCAATAAGAGGCCATTCCCCGCCCCCCCATCACATCGTTCTTTCAAGAGGGGAATGTTGACTTTACTCAGCAGAATGCCAAAATTTAGGGCAACAATAATCACAGGTAAAAAGACTCCAAAATATTGGACGTGAGTTAAAAATTGCTTAAGTTGGCTGACCAAGAGGGCAAATCGATGAAAGGTGAGAATGGAACAAAACATACCAAGCTGTGGGTGAAGGCACTGAATGGAACACTAACAAACACAGACCGTGTGTCATTTTTGTTGTTGCTGTTTTGTAACAGGCACCGAACACAAATCTAACCTGTTGATGCCCAGTATCTGAGTCCATGGCCAACAATTTCTCCATCCGCAAATTCACCTTCGTAATAACTCCCATCTTTGAACAGTAATTTCCCATGTCCTGAAAAAGAAAGATCAGTTAAAAAAGAAGAGCCTTGGATGGGTTTGGAATTTTAAAAATTATTGGGCTCTCTTTGCAAAGGGGAAGCTTCGTAAAGGTTCTAGGGATGAAGTCACTAATAAAGCTGATAGCAGATAGTTAATAAAGATAATAAGTTGAAAGTGGTAGTATCCTTCTACACTGCACCGGTGAGACCACACTTGAAATACTGCGTCCAATTTTAGTCACCACGATCCAAAAAAAAGAGGTTGAGACTCTGGAAAGAGTACAAGAGAAGAGCAACAAAGATGCTTAGACAACTGGAGGCTGAAACATACAACGAACTGTTACTGGAATTGGGTATATCTAGTCTAACGTACAAAAAGACTAGGAATGACACGATAGCAGTCTTCCAATATTTGAGGGGCTGCCACAGAGAGGAGTGAGCTGATACTTCCTACTTTATACTGCAAGGACCTGCTTTCCAAATTTCCAGCGAGGGAGTCAAATTAGCCTCTTGGGCAAAAAGAAAAAAGTTTAGTAGCCTTTTAAAAACTATCCTATCAGCCCATTAGTGTAGATTATGAAATACTGTAGGAAACGTTATCACTCTGATGCCATCTAATGGTCAAAAGTATGTATAAATATATTCCATCAAATACATCTCGTTTTGGAAATACTGAATGATAAGACCGGACCATTCTTTGCTTCCTTTTGAGGACAAATCAGGCATTTGGAATTTGATCAACTGCAAAAAAATGATTATATGAAAGATGAAAGATTTATACAAAAAAACCACAATATGTCAGTGTTTTTCTTAACCTGCTGATCATTCTCCATATTTTTTTATTAAATAATTAAAATGTATTAATTACACGGCACTGAAAGAAGTGACTTACGGCCATTTTTCAGTTATTATCTTTGCAGCCTCCCCATAATCAATTGTGGTCGTAAGTCGAGGACTACCTGTATTTAATAACAATAGTAAAAATGCAGAATGCATCCAATTAATATTCAAAGACCTGCCTGGGAGTCTAGAAATGTGTTTAACCAATCAGCGTATTGGTTGATCTTAGATAAGATCTTATTTCTTGGCCTAACAATTCATTTCATTGTTTGTATTGTGGGGAAAATAGGAAGAAGAATAGGTATGTCTGCTCCCTTGGGTTTTTTTTTATAAAAATAATAAAGGTGGGAAATAAACTTATTTATTTAAAAAATAAATAAAAATAAACTTATTTATTTAAAAAAGGTGGTCACAAAATCCCTGCTGAATAAAACACAAAGAAAGAAGACTTCTGGTTCCTTACCATGTTTTTTCCCTCGCTTCCATTGTCCTTCATACTTGAAAAAGGAATTGGGGTAAACGTAACGTCCATAACCTAAAGGCAAGAGAAGTCAAAAATATTAAAAATACAATAATGAAAAGACTATGATAGACACTTCAGTAAAACCAACCTAGGAAGTTTCCCAATACTTTTCTGATGGAAATGTTTTGGATCTCCAGTTTGTTTACAATATACGATGTTTTTGTAGGAGAAAAGTAACAAAACCTCACATTCCTTGATGTAACCTAAAGTGTTTTACTGTACGCAAGGAACCGCAATAGAGAAAAATTGTGGTTTTATGGTTAAATGTTGGATTAGAACCAGTCAATGATATTTGTGATACATTTTTAAATGTTCAGTTGACTGAGTTTAATAATAATAATAATAATACCAATAATAGTGTGCAATGAATACGACACAATAATAACAGTAATAATAATAGCAATAGTAATAATAGTAAGTGATGAATACTCAATAATAATAATTATTAATAAGAATTGTAATTATTATTCTGTATAATAAGTGGGGTCAGGGAATTCTTTGATGAATAATAATAACAACAACAAGAACAACAACAACAACAACAATAATAATAATAATAATAAGTGGGTCAGGGAATTCTTAGAACATGCAATTCCTCCAGGGCGACACCTGCCAACCTTGGCGTTGGTTCTCCCGCTTTCGGACGTGCATTCTGGTAGACTGCTCCTGCCCCAGGAGGCTCCACTTAGGACCCGATCTAGCCCCTTTCCGCGGGGAATCGCCCCTCCTGGCGTCCTTTTTTTTTCGCCGTCTCCTCCCCAGCAAAGCCGTGACTTTCCCCCCTCACCCCGCTCACCATTCCTCCGCTGATCCTTCATCTCCCCACAGTAAGAAGCGGCTCCCTCAGCCGCCATTTTCCCGTCTCCCTCAAGGGACGCTGTTTTGCCGCCATCAAACCCCAGCCGCTGATTGGCTGCCGCGTTGCTAGGAGACGAGGCTTCTTGCTGTGTCTTTTTTTTCCCTTCCTCCTCCCCCAGAGGGGAGGGGGGGGGTAAGAAGTTCGGGCTTTCGCTCGGCGGGGCGCATGCGCGGAGTAAGTGGCGTTTCCTAGGGAATAGAAACAAGGAAGTACGTAGGGGCGGTTTTAAATGCTTTCCTTAACTTAGTTGTCGAGGAGGGACTGCAGATTCCATCATCCCCAGCCCCGCACGGTCCTGGGAGTTAGAGGAGAACCCGGGGAAAAAACGCCGCACGGGTTTTGCACATAATGCCTCGCTGAGCCAACCATTGGGACTGCTGGGGATGATGGAGTCTGCAGTCCCCACCTACCCACCCAGGCTGGGCCGTGGCTCTAGCTGGAGGCCCGAGTGTACTTAAAAAAAAACCCGTTATGTCTGTATAGGTGGCTGGTGTTTTTCTTTTAGCCACTTTATGGACACAACAACCCTGCTAGGTAGGCCGGGAGGAGGGAGAGATCCCCCCCGCCAAAATGCATCCCTGCCGGAGAGGCTGGATCTCTTCGATCCTGGCTGCTGTGGCTGCGACCTGGATCGAGGAAAGCGGCCCTTGTCAATCAAAACCCCTTTGATCTGCCTGTCCAACTCCCCACCCCGGTAAGAGTGGACCGGCTGCTGGCAAACCACGGACTACATATCCCCTAAGCCGCAGCAGGAAGGCCGGGCGGGGGATCCACCCTGCTGCCGTCCCACCTTCCTGCCAGCTAGGCCAAAGGTCTGCAATCCACCGGGAGCGCCCATCCCTAGGGCTCAATACAGCGCTTATGCGGGGAGGGGAGGAAACTACTGCTCCCAGAAGGCCTCAAGCGGCTTGGCTGCCTGAGGCCTTCTGGGAGCGGTAGTTTCCCCCCCGTCCCATCTCTTTGGCGGGCGCGCCTTCTGAGGCATTCTGGGAGCGGTAGTTTCTCCTTGGCGAGCGCACCTACGGCTGGAGGGGGTAGCTGAGGCATTCTGGGAGCTGTAGTTCCCCGAATGTGAGGGCCTCTAACTGAGGCGAGGCTTCCTCCAACCCAGCAGGCCTCTTTCCTCACAGAACAGGGGCCTAGTTTGTGTGGGGGCTTCCCGACCCCTTTGGCCTTCCACTCTCCCTCCTCCTCCTCCTCCTCCTCCTTCTTTTCGCCCCGGTAGCGGAAGCTCTCCTGCCGGCCGCGCGGTTCCGCCATCTCGGAAGGTGGAGAAGGAGGAGGAGTCGGCAACGGCGGCGGCGGCGGCGGCGGCTCCTCTGCCTGTTCAGGCGGGGCGGGAAGCGGAAGGAGGGGACACCCGGCGCGGCCTGGTGAGTTACCCCCCTTGGGCCCGACTAGGCCGCGGCCTGGCCGTTGCCTTGGCAACCAGGCCTTCCAGTTCGGGGGAGAGATGGAGGGGTGCTTGGGAGGACCCCAACTTTAATTACTCCCCTCAGGGCGGGTGTGTCTGTTCGCGGGGTTCGTCACTGGAACCTCTTCCGTCCCCTCCTCAGTTTCCCCCAATGGGGTCCCGCCATTTGGGGTGCGGGGTGATGGTTCCCGGTCCTCCTTTGGGGGATAAAGAAGCGTTGCTTCCATTGATTCTCTTGGACTCCGACCTCCATCATTCCCAGCTGGGACAATGGGAACTGTAGTCCAGAACTGGAGGGGTTGGGGGTGGTATTTTGAGTGCTGGGTTTGAATTAGGGAGCTGGCCCAGGTCGGGGTACAGGTAGTCCTCGACTTACAACAGTTCGCTTAGTGACCATTCGAAGGGTACAGTGGCGCTGGTGGAAAAAAGTGGGGGGAGGATGGGATTTGGGACCCCCTTTTCCCCCCACATTGGACAAACATGTTTGGGCATCCCCTTGGTCACGTGATCACAATTGGCGCCGCTCGGCAACGGACTCGGACTTATGACGGTGGCAGAGGTCGCAGGATTCCCCCTTTTTGCGATGGTTGGACCAAGCAAAATCAACGGGGGAAAGCCACGACCGACTTCTTAACAGCGGCGAGAGAGGTCGCAAAATGGGGCCAACACTCGCTTAACAAGCATCCCGCTTAGCAACGGAAACACTGGGCTCCGTTGAGGTCATAAAGCAAGGACTTCCTGTATTACTGCCACATACTCACCTTAGACCTCTAGGCAATCTATTTTGGGGGAAGAGGGTGTTGTCCCTCATTTTTCCCTACAATACCCCGGGTGAGGTTGAGAGCGTGAAGATTCGCACCCAGATCCACCCTTGAGTTTCTAACAGGGAGATTGGAGGCTTATCATTATCCCGCCGAAACGCTAGCCGAAATGGGGGTGGATTTCTCTGTCTCTTCTTCTGGTCCTTTTAATTCAAGATAATCCCCATTCACGTCCAAATCTTCTAGTCCGTGAAAGCTGAAGCTTTAGCTCACCTGGTGGTGCCTTTTCCCTCCCCAATCGTGGCTTAGCCCAAAGAAGGGCCCAATTCAGAGGTTGGCTGAACTTGGGGATAATTTTTTTTTAAATTCTCTCCTTTAATCAAGTCACTGAATGGTATGAATGACAGACATTAGCCAGGAGACATTTCTTTAGTTTACACACCCTGTGGAGGTTTGGTTATTTTTCCCCTGAATTTTTCTTCGAGGCGTGCCTAGTAGATTGTCAGTCATGCTTTCTGCTTTTGCTCCCCTTAGGAAACCTGTGTTCATGTAACAGCCATGTTTAAGGTTTTTTTTTTAATCCACTTTAGGTGAAAATGCAGCCCCTGGCATTCATAAATTTTAAATAATTGCTTTGGATGTTGTATGAAGCCAACGTCAAGCTGAAACGCTAGGCCAACCTGAACCTTTTTTTCCTGCGATGTTCATAAATTTATGATTCTTGTCGCTCCGCTTCATGCTTTGCTCGGCTTTTATTGAGAACTTCCCTCCATAAATTGTGGGTGGTCCATCACAAGAGGTTTTCTTGAAGAGACTGGACAGCCTTTTTTCCGCAATGGCATAGGGCTTCCTGCTTGAGCAGTGGGCTGGACTAGAAGACCTCCAAAGTCCTTTCCGTCTCTGCTGTTCTGTTAGGAACTTGTAATTCTAGCCTCGGTTTTGTAGAATCGGCATGGTCAGCGAATTACAATTTCCGCAGCTTGCTTGACTGGTAGAGAAGAAAAATGCTGGTACGTTTATAATAAAGAGTTAAAGGAGAATGAAACTGAAACATAGTTAGTCACTGGCCGGAATGGCCTCCAAATTAATATGGAAAGCCAGACTTCCCTTGGACTGAAAAGACTAAGGAGTGGCCGATCTTGGCAACTTTAAGATAGACATCAACTCCCAAAATTCCCCAACCAGCCGTGAAATGAACGGAATGGAAGTCCATAGGTTTTAAAGTTGCCAAGATTGGGCATCCTTGCTACAAGTATTTAGTGAACCACATGTGAAGCCAAGTATTGGGTTTACTCGACAGCGTCCTTGAAAGCTGACACTGTGGTAGCCCTTCCACCTTTTAGTTCAGTTTGTTTTAAAAGTGGAAGTTTGTGTACCGAAACGCTGTTTCGTTTCCTTCCTGCTTTTTTCCCCACCAACCCAAATTGGGATTTGCATAGTTGCGTTTTCCAATTTGGAATCAAAGGAACATCCAGAAAAATCCTTAGGATCGAAGTAAAACTTAACATTGTCCCGGGCTAACAAATAGCATCCGTGTTTTATTCTCATCCTTAGTGGTTTCCCGCTGTGCTAAAGCTTAACTTCAGTTTAACCCAGCGATTCTGGTTGGCGAACGCGGTTTGTTGGGGGGTATTGAGTGGTCGATGGACCAAGAGCCACGGTTAAATTGTAATCTGGAGTGGTGTGCAACTTTAGGCTTGGTTGTTGTCACTGGATATCAAGCCAAGATCTTTTATATTCGATTCTTGGTTATATTGGTGCGGTTTATCATTTTGGAATTCTCTCCTTTTTTGCCACGTTGTGGTTCTTCATTGCTGTTATTATGAGAATATTCTCACCGATGGCTGGCGAGGGAATTTGTTTGAGGCGGTTTAATAATCATAAAACTTGCTCTCTTCCCTTGGATGCAAATTCAGCTTTGCTGAAAATCTTACCATTTCTAAACGTGATTTCCTAGGCTAATATCACTCGTATTCTTGTTGACCTTCCAGCAAGTTCCAAATTACGGGTCAAAGATTGCTTTCCCTCTCTGATTTCCCAGTCGTTATTTTCCTTGAAGGCAGCAACTTCACACACTGTCCTGGCAAAATCTCTTTTGCTTTCCTGTTCCTGGAACGAAACTGAATTTCCATTTTCTCCGCCCTCCAAGCCTGATGTACCAGGAAGTTAGGTCACGCTTTCGCTGATGTGGCACCGCAGCTCCAGCGATTCCCTGTGTGGCTTAAAGAGAAATGCAGCTTTTCACCGAAACCAACCATGGTAGAAACCAGAAGGTCCTTTTTAAGTCTTAATCTTTATTTGCGGTCCAAAGGCTGGTTATAAAAAGATTCTTTTTCTCTGTAAAAAGAGAAGATGAGAGCCCCGAAGAGGTTGCAGATTAAGTTTCATCTCCGTTTTGAATGAAAAGGGGATTTGGCTTTAAATCGTGTTCCAAAGAGGAAGTGCTCTGCAAACACACCACTGAGTAAAATATAGCTAGCAATAGAATATTGAGTTGGGGTTTTATCGGGTCTGCGAAAGCCCAGTGTGAATTGTGCATGATTTATTGGGCTTTCGGCAATTTTCCTCCCCGCGCCGATTGTACAACCCAAAGCGGGGAAGCTTTGTATAGCTAATCCTTGACTTAACAAGCACAGTCAAGCCCAACATTTTCGCGGCTGAGTGAGACTATTGTGACGCGAGTTCTGTCCCATTTAACAACCGCTCTTGCCACTGGGATGCTGCAGTTGTTGCAAATGTTTTAAAGAAATCAAAACCCGGTCATAACTCGCTGTTTTCAATGCTGTTGTAACTTCCAATGGTTGTTCAATGAATGGTTGTAACGTCGCCTAGGAGATTTGCGAGGAGTTCGTATGTGCAAGGATGATGTGCTGAATTCTTTGTGGGGTTTTTTTTTTCCCCACAGCCACAATGTCAGAAGGGGACAGTAGCGGTGAGTCTATCCATGGCAAACCGTCCGTGGTCTATAGATTTTTCACGAGGCTTGGACAGGTGAGTTTCACGCACGTACAGATCCATAAACCACTCCAGGATGGTGCATGCCTGAATGATTTAATTAGCATTTGGTCCAATTAAAGCTGAAAGAGAAAACAGTTGATATTGAAGGGATTTCTCCGGCCTCTGCTGGATTGTGGGAAGGAGTGCTTTGGATGAATCCCTCTAGCTATGGCTTATTTTATTTAAATATACAAATACAAAAAATTTCTTTCTTTCTTTCTTTCTTTCTTTCTTTCTTTCATCTTATCTATCTAATCTTATTTATCTAATCTTTATCCATCCATCCAAACTATCTAATCTTTACCTAATATATCAATCTATCTATTCTCTGTTCTCTATTTTCCCTATATCTTTCTATCTAAATCTATCTAATCTTACTTATCTAATATTATCTACCTTATTTATCTAATCTTATCCATCCATTGTCTGTCTGTCTGTGTCTGTCTAATCTAATCTATTTATATAATTTTATATAGCTATCTAATCTGTCTCTGTCTATCTTGTCTGTCTATCTATCTATCTATCTATCTATCTAATCTGTAATATATCTTATCTATATACTTATATAGCTCTCTACCTAATCTTCTCTGTCTGTCTATTTTATCTATATAATCTTATATAGCTCTCTATCTAATGTCTGTCTGTCTAATCTTATCTTATCTTAATCTATCTATCTATCTATCTATCTATCTATCTATCTATCTATCTATCTATCTATCTATCTATCTAT